GGGAGCCCCAGAGAGAAAGCTTTACCTCTGCGCCGAGCGAGCGTGGGAGAGTGAAAGCCAGCACGGAGTTTTGCATGTGGCAAAGACCGCAAACCTCTGGCTGAGGTTTTACCTCTGCTAAAATAAGCCCCTTCTTGAGCCCCAGAGGAAATGGCTAGCCAATGACTTCTGCAAGCAGGGAAGTCTCTGCCTCTGTCTCCTCTGCCTGTGCTGAGGATGGACATCTGGGATGCGACAAGCCCTCAGGCAGTGCCTTTGTGTGCTGACAGTGTGCATGTGTGGCAGGGAGGTGGCGAGCAAGGATGCCTTTTGGGGCTGGGCAGTCAGGGCCAGAGGAAAGGTGAGGGGAGCTGCCTCCAGCAGCCAGGGCACCGAGGTGTGGGGTCCCCATGCCAGCCCCACTGCCCCTCCCAGCTCTGCTCTCACCTTCGTGCATGTCTCGCTTGTCTTCCCGCGCCTGCTCCAGCGCCTTCTCCAGGTCCCGCAGCCTCCGCTTGAGCCCTTCGTGGTCAGTGCTTGCCTGCCAGGCCATGCCCCTCCAGGGAACTGTGAGTCACAGATGCCCATGGCAGCTACGGGGCGCTGAGCTTCCTGGCAGGCTCACCCGGGGCAGGCCAGGGCCCCCAGGGCGAGCAGGGATGCAGCCCTCGGAGCAGTCACTGAGCATCACGATCCCGGCCTCGGCACGGGGAGCCAAAGGGCACTATCCAGACCGTAGGGTGGCTGTGCCCTTGCTTGCTGCCACCCCTGGCTCCTCCCAGCCTTACCCATGTGCTCGTTCAGCATGTCGACCTCCAGGGCTGCTTTCCGGTACATCACTTTGGCTTGGCTCTCTGCAGCCGGAGGGAAGAAGGAAGGGACCGAGTCAAGGACAAGTCTTTGATGGGGCTCGACCCAGGAACACCAAGGGACCCGGCTGTCACATGGCTATGGGGAAGTCTGCCTTGGGATGTTCACCCCAGGAAAACTTGGCTGGGACATGCTTCCAGCAGAAACACCAGTGCAGAGGCAATATTTCTGCAGATATTTGTTGGACGCAGAGTCAGGGATCGCAGGTTTTACTTGCGGTCGGCTCCCCTGGGGAGATGCACTCCCGTTTGGGGCTGAGGGTTGAGGTTTCCCAGTGAAGATGGGGCAGCAGCAGGGGTCCTGGGCACACAGACCATGGGGACCCTTTCCAAAACCCCACACCGCATGCTCTTCCAGCCCAGCGCGTGTGTCCACTTTCAGAGGCCTGCCGGAGAGGCCAGGGCTGGGAGAGCCGCTCTCTCCGACTCCCGGGTCCCGCGGGGCTGGAGGGAGCATAGGGCTGGCGAGCGCTTAGGGCAGGGCCCTCCGATGCTGCTGCCTCCTGTTTCTCATCAGGCCAGAGGCGTAACTGTGCCGCTGCCCCGGCGCGGGGTGGGAAGGGCCGGAGAAGCTGAGAAAGCAGCAGAAGAGGCGTCCCGTGGGGCCGCGGTGCATTCCTGGGCCCCGGCGTTCCCAGCGCCTGCTTCCGCAGCCCCCGCCGTGCCTGCCCTCGCAGGGCCGGGGAAGCAGCAGGGCAGGGGCTGGAGGGGCCCGACCCGGCCAGCTGGAGGGAGACAGGGCTCCAGACTCACCTGCTGCGTTTCTCTGCTGCTGCTGCTTCACTCCCCTTCTCCCCTTCCCTCTGCTCTGCAGCGGCATGCTGCCTGCAAGGAGAAAGCAGCGAGAGGTACGGACACAAGCGCTTTCTCCCAGCGCCCACGGGCCCAGCGCCCGGCACAGCTCGTGCTACCTGCTCCCGGCTGCGTGCACAGGAGCTGAGCCCAGGCGGGAGCGACGGCACGCTGGACTTCTGGGGGACAGAGGGGAGGCAGCGGGGCCCCCAGCACGAGAAGGGAGACCACGGACGACGAGCCGCCGCACCTTCGTCGGGCCGGC